TTGAATATAAAATGAGACTACGATGTAGTTGTATGTCTTTCTTCAGACATATTCAGCTACTCAACTGTAAGAAAAGCAGCTGGTTTGGATTTTTCCAGGGAAATAGAACAGGGAGAGAGATGTAAGGGAGTTGAGGGTAAATGCAAAGGAATTTAAGCCAGGAAAGGAGGGGAGTGAAAGATCATGAAAATGTAGAAGAGTCAGTGGGTTAGAAGTCTTGGTGTGTGTCTTAGTCATCTAGGGCTGCCATAACAGAACTACCACAAGTGGATGGCTTTAACAAAGAGAAATTTATTTTTTCACAGTAAAGTAGGCTGAAAGTCCAAATTCAGGGCGTTAGCTCCAGGGGAAGGCTTTCTCTCTCTCTTGGCCCTCATCTACTTCCCCCGGACTAGGAGCTTCTCCGCGAAGGGACCCTGGGTCCAAAGGATGAGCTCTGCTCCCAGCACTGCTTTCTTGATGGTATGAGATCCTCAACTCCCTGCTTGCTTCCCTTTCCTTTTATCTCTTGTAAGATAAAAGGTGGTACAGGCCACACCCCGGGAAAATTCCCTTTACATTGGATCAGGGATGTGATTTTAGTAAAGGTGTTACAATCCCACCCTAATTCTCTTTAATATAAAATCACAATCACAAAATGGAGGACAACCACACAATACTGGGAATCATGGCCCAGCCAAATTGATACACACATTTTGCGGGGGACATAATTCAATCCATGGCAGTGTGGTCAAGGAGTGCTTAGAGTCAAACTGCTAGGAGGAGAGCTGGAAAAATAAGAGAGTGTGAATCTGTAGTTGTGGGTAAGGTACAGTTATGAGAGTGGGTGGCTGGATGAGAGAAGACATCAAGGAACTTTGAGGACATAGAATTAGAAGCATCATCTGTATAGATGTTGAAATCCTGAAGAAATAATGACAGCAGTAGTAGTAGTAGATACATAGCAGGTCAGATGCTGAAATCTAGGAATGAGGAGGAGAGTTCTGGAGATCAGTAGATAACAATAAGGAAGAGTAAACGTTAGTCTGATGGCATGAACGTCAAACTAGGGCGCTTTAGGGAGGAGGAAAGGATGATAATGTGGCAGTGCTAATGAGGAACAGGAAAAATAAGCTGGCCTCCATGCTTAGTGGCTTGAGGATGGTACAGGGAAAGCAGTATCTTTGGACTTCAGTTAGAGCAAAAAGGTGAAGGGAAAGGCCATTGAAGAGGCTGTAGATAGGCAGGATATTGTTGAAGATGGACCACGAGTTTCCGTGGTCATAATGAAGGATGTAAAGGGGTTGGGAAGTGGGTAACATGACATCAAATTAGGAGACTTATGTGATAAGTCTCCATGATGAGGGATGAACTGGGAATCTTAGGCTTCTCCTGGAGATAGGGTTGTAAGGCATAATGGGAATAGTGCCCAAAGTCTCCTAGGCACATTGTGGGGATGACACTGTGATTTTGGCTTAGGAGAAGGAGAGGGACTGCTCAGGATCAAGAGGAACTCACTGGGTCTCCTCTCCAGTCATGCAAACAGTGTTGTTGAAGCTACTGGAGGTTTGTAGGCGTTGTAGCAGCTTCGTCCATGGACTTCACTGAAATAGTTCCCCTGAGATGTAATGTGGATAGTAGGAGAATGGAAAGGAGGGGGTCAATATAAAAAATGGTATTTTAGCAATACAGTAAGTCAAAAGCAAATAGATTCTGGGAGTGGTATGTAAAGACATGGTTCTTTCCTTAAAAAGATTATAATCTTGTAGTATAGCATGGTAGTTAAGAGCATGAACCTTGGAGCCAGGCTACCTGAATTCAAATCACATCTCTTGACAGTTAATAGCTGTTTGACTTTGGGTAATTTCTTCACCTCTCTGTGCCTGACTTGACTTCTCTGTAAAATGGAAATTTCAGTTATAATATCTACCTCATAGGGTATAAGTAAATAAATTTGTGAAGTTCTTAGAATATCAATTGGCACAGAATAAATGCTATATAAATATCTGGGTTTTTTTTATTGTGCTTTAGATGAAGGTTTACAGAGCAAATTAGTTTCTCATTGAACAATTAATACACATATTGTTTCGGACATTGGTTGCCAGCCCCAAGATGTGTCAACACTCTCCCCTTCTTGACCTTGAATTCCCTATTACCAGCTTTCCTGTCCCCTTTAGCCTTCTCGTCCATGCCCCTGGGCTGGTGTGCCCATTTAGTCTCCTTTTGTTTTATGGGCCTGTTTAATCTGTGGATGAAGGACGAACCTTAGGAGTGACTTCAGTACTGAGTTAAAACGGTTTCCGGGGGCCATACTCTCGGGGTTTCTCCAGTCTCTGCCATACTAAGTCTGGTCTTTTTTTGTGAGTTAGAATTTTGTTCTACATTTTTCTCCAGCTCTGCCTGGGACCCTCTGTTGTGATCCCTGTCAGAGCAGTCAGTGGTGGTAGCCAGGCACCATCTAGATGTGCTGTACTCAGTCTGATGGAAGCTGTGGTAGTTGTGGTCCATTAGTCCTTGGGACTAGTCTTTCCCTTGTGTCTTTGGTTTTCTTCATTGTCCCTTGCTCCAGACAGGGTGGGACCAGTGGAGTATCTTAGATAGCTGCTCACAGGCTTTTAAGACCCCAGATGCTACTCACCAAAGTAGGATGTAGAACATTTTCTTCATAAACTATGTTATGCCATTTAAGCCACATATCCCCCAAACCATGGTTTCCATATCTTGGGGGTTTTGTTGTTATTTTTTATCTACACCACACAGTGTGTGGCACAAAGTAAGCACTGTATAAAAGCGTTTGGTACTGTAATCATTGCGAGAACTAGCTGCAAGTATAACTGTAGAGGGGCTGGGTGGAATTGAGGATGAAATCTGTGACCGTGAAACTCATACAAAAGACCTGGAGAGCATCTGAATTATTCTGGGACAATTCTGTATATTAAACAGAAAAGACCTAGATTAAGGGCATGGACGGAGTGCACAGGCTCAATATCAGAGAAGACTTGATGAAGGAGATAAGTTCAAAGTGAGCTTAGAGGGAAGGAAGTGACATGAAGATACAGGAAAGAATCATAAATTTTTAGGGGTGATCATGACAAACTTTACATCTGCTGAGTAAAGGTCCCAGGATTTCTTTACCTTGCAAAAATAATTCTAGGCAGATTTGAGGTCTCCTGACAATGGGAAAAAATTTTATTTTGTTTTTCTTTCCTTTTTATTTACATATCAGATTTCAGTCCTTTAAAATTTTATTTTGGTGAGAAACTATTTGTTCTATAAACCTTCACCTGAAGTACAATAAAAAAAAATTATTTTGGGAAACAAATGTAACTAATACTTGAGTACTTTGTAATTAACCAATCTTTAGGAAAGATATTTAGTGATTTTGCAGACCTCGTAGAGGCTTCCTTACATATGCCTTGCTGTTATGATAATATTTCACTTCTTTTGGTTTATAAAGTTGATCATGACATTAGTATGATTTGGAAGGATTCACAAGTTGTGTAAAAATCAGCTAAGATTTTTTTTAAAGCCTCAGTCATTTATAAAGAAAATATCCATATGAGTAAATGTTATATAGGAGATGACAATTTTCAACTTCAGGATTACTTAACAACGTTGAGCTACTTTTGCTCAGGGTCATAACAGTTGAAAAGCAGCAGAACCAAGATTCAAATACACTGATACTTCTCTCCAAAAATCTCACCCATAACCATTGTATTTTAATTCTTGGCACTAGTGATGAAATGTCATTGCCATCCCTGTGAGATGTTAGACAAGTTACATTTACATGACAGGAAAAACAAAGTGAAAGATTATCATTGTAGATTATTTTGTAGAAGTAAAGTGAACCAAAAAGGAGAGAAGAGACTACAAGTTGTACCTTTTCCTCTGTGTAAGAATGGACAGGTAAATTAACATACTGCTTTTCCTAAAGCTCGTAAGGCCGTTAGCTCTGACCATTCGCCATTCGTTTATTATGTTGGTTGAGGAAGGAACTCTTCTTTTAATCTTCAAGGGAGGAAAATATTTCCCCCTTCATCTTGTCAGTTACTCCTATATAGAAGAGACCAAACATGATTTTAAACCTGCTTAGTTCTTATCCTGGCCAGAATATTACTAGGCAGAGGGCACTGTATTTCCTATATCCTGTACCCATGGCAGAGCCCTGGGTGATGCAAATGGTTAAGCGCTTGGTAAGGCTTGACTACTAGCTGAAAGGTTGGCGGTTTAGACCCACCCAGAGGTGCCTTGGAAGACAGGCCTGGCAGTCTGCTTCCAAAAGATCACAGCCTTGAAAACCCTGTAGGGCAGTTGTACTCTGCACAGGTGGGGTCACCATGAATCGGAATCGACTGAACGGCAACAACAACATACCCATGGCAGACATCGCTAACTGATCTTATAGATTCTGTTTCTTATAGATTCCGGTCATAGTCTCAGAATCTATTTCATCATAATTCTCGAGGCAACTGCTACTAATCCGTAATAATTAATTTTACTAATTGTACGTCGGGTACTGTGCTAAGCATGTTATACATATTACTTTAATTATTACAACAGCTCCATGAGGTTTTACAGATGAAGCCACTGAAGATCAAAGAAGCTAAGAAACTTGCTCAGGGTCATAACAATTGAAAAGCAGCAGAACCAAGATTCAAATACAGCAATACTTCTCTCCAAAAATCTCACCCATAACCATTGTATTTTAATTTTTGGCACTAGTGATGGAATGTCATTGCCATCCCTGTGAGATGTTAGACAA